AAATTTGAGATAAGCGGATACTTTAGAGCCCAGTATTACTTCTCTCTCCTTGCCAAATCACATGAACTAGTTGCTGAACTGTGTGCAGGTGAAGGTTGCAGTTTGTCATCTCTGAAGAAATAATGCTTATGGGAGACTCCCCTGTAAGTGTTGCAGGCCCATCCCAACTCGAGGAATGTGACTGGGTTTCATATTCTCAAGAAGGTTCATTTTTATTTTGGGGACGGTTATGTGCAGTGTTTAAGTCTCAGCTGGCTTGGCACCTCACAAAACAAAGGCATTTGTTACGCTCCTCCATAAGACCTAGGTGCCAGCAGAGAAGTAAAAGAAAAGATGGTTGGAGCAGCATTGTGTAAAACCGTTATCTGTTGCAAACCTTTGAAGTTCAGCTGCCTCTGTGAACTGTGAGAGTTGTCCTGCAAAGCTTGTACTGTTTGTGTGGCTGTGCTGGCACAGGCGGGGCCCCAGTAGTCACGGATAATTCATATGGAACAGAAGCATGGCATGAAGAATGTGCCCCTGGCTGGAGTGAGTGAGTCACTTTATCACTGAGGCTTTTTTAAACTGAATACTGTTTACCTGGCAGCTCTCAATTAACATGTTGATGAAATCTGTGCACAAAGTTTACACAAGCTCGTTGAGAAAATTTGCTATTTTATATTTGCCTGAAACTAAAGGATAAAAACTAGACATTCTAAGACTTAATGCTTTCATTCTTCTCACACACTTGGAGTAGCAGTTATCTAGCAAAGGAATTACACCATATCCACAAACTGTAGTTCACCTTTAAGCTCTTTCAAACAGAAAATTACACCAAGAAATCCATAAACAGTATGAACAGCAAGGGTCAGACTGTCTTACCGTGAAGAATTATATAGTGTGGGAAGCCTATTGCCTTTTGTTTTTTTCTGCTGTTAATGCTCCAGTCTTGGCTCACATGGAGCTTTCTGAGAAATCAGAAATGTAGTGTTGTATTTGAAATGCATTGCAGTATTAGAATTCTATTTTGGTACGCTTTACACTAAACTGTAATCCTTATAGTATATATTTAACTCTGATATGTTTTATCTGCAGACTGCTCTCAAAATGATTGATCCTCCTTGTCTTTACTCTAGAAAGATGCTGAATGTTGGCTGAGGGAAACTGATCTGTGTTGGTGTTAAGTGACTGAATCAGGGCTGGTATGAAATAAAGGCATTAATCTTTCTGCCTTGCTGGATGTATGCAGACTGCATAAAGCCTAACATTTTTTTTGGTTCCTGTGGAATGATTTAAGTTCCATAGGCTTGTTGAAGTTCCTTACCCACCTTAATGCTACCAGCCAAAGGCTGCTAGAGAAAGCCACCCTGGAATGCACCACTCAATTGCAGGTCAGCATTGTCTTGTTTAATACAGCACATCTCTTCATAAACAATTTTATTGTTTTGCAGAACAAACATGTTTAGAAAGAGGAGGTACAGTGAAGGCTTGACTACCTCCAGGGACTCATGGATGATGGTTCTGTGACTCCTGAGACCTTTCAGGGCCTGGGGCACAGCACAGAGCACCCCTCCAGCTGCCGAGCCAGGGGACCACTGGCACAGGCTGTGCAGCTGAGGCAGCAGAGTTGGCTTTACCTTTATTCTCCACATGCAGAACAGCAAAGGCAAGGAACTGCTTCTGATTCATGTTAAGTCCTGACTCAGGTCTGCCCAACGCTTGGTTTCTATGTCAGTCAGATCTGCCTGTTTCAGTAGTTAACACTTGAGCACTGTCTTCATGAAGCTTGGTGTAAAGAAACCAAACAAACCCACAGTATCAACCACATGCTAAAAATCTTAAACCAATCACTGTGATTGATAAATGTTTAGCATTACTTGGCAAATGAGTGATAGCTTTATATTTTATCCACAAAACAACAATACTGGGTTAACAAGAGGAAGAAAGAACTAAAGCAGAACAAAGAGACAATTTTGTATTCTTGGTCTGGATGGGTATTTGGTACTTGCAGAGGTGCTATTAAACACTGCCTGCGTATCTCCAGTGGCTGCAGTATCAAGCTAGCCTAAGGTTTCTCAGATAGAGAAAGTCCAGAGTTAAGAGCAAGGAAGAAGGGGATTGAATTGGAAGTAGAACACAGCCTTAATGTTATTTGCTACAGTGTATTAAAACAGCTATAGGCGTTTCATATACTAAAGAGCAGCAATCATTTACCTTTTGAAAATTATGTTTTCATTGCAGATGGCAACATAAGCCCCAGCACCTTTAGATATGTGATCAGCTCTCCTGTTGTCTTCACACAGACTCTGTCTCTGAACATGATAATTTGATATAAGAGTGGGCATCAAAGTCAATGAGGGAGAATTTGCAAAAGGGATGATGGAGAAAAGTTTATGGAAATCACAGCAAATCAAATTTCAGGGGTGCTGAAAACAGGCTGATAAATAGATATTTATTGGATAGTAGGTTTCAAGTAGCACATATTTACCTGTTCCCACTAATTTAGCAGGAGTTGCTGCCTCAGGGACAAAGTATTTCTTTTAAGGTGGTAGCTGGAATACAATCAGCATCACCTTGCTGATCCTGCAAGGTCCACACTCCTGTCATCCCTCAGAGCTCAGTGCCCCAGGACAGCAGGACACACACTATGGACAGAGATCAGAACTGCTGGCAGTCACTCAAACCTGCCACCTGCTCGAGGGGAGTGGTTTTAGTGGAATTGTAAATGAACATGATGGTGGTTCCAGGACCAAGTCTTTAGTAGTTGACAATAATTTAACTACAGTTACTATTAAACAGGCAAATTGAGATATGGGGACAAGCTACTTTTCCCCAGAACACAAGCCAGACAAGGACTGATAATACATGTGTGGGTGTGCAGAAGTGAAAGCTGGCTTATTCCAGCAGCATCATTCTGCTACAGCCATTTGATGTCCCAGAAGATTCGAGTGTATATAGATCCATGTACAGGAAATACATGTGGAACTGTTATTTTTGACAAGACCGAAGACCAAACAGTCAAAAGGAGAAAACAAGGGATATACAGAGTGACTTAAAAATAGGTGTGTAGCTGTAGAATTTCTAATTAAACTGCTGCTTATCTGGTGAGTGTTTCTATCTATAGAAATGTTGGGGTGGGTGTGTGTAACGAAGGGCAGAGTCTGCTTGCAGACAGGACAAAGGTCACACCTCTGGCTGCTGTGCACATGACAGACTACCCGAATGAGAAGGATTGATGCAAAGCTCATACAGGAGGATGAGCTGAAACATTTCTAGATAGCCATCCTTTTCACACTCTAGTGTGGACAAGAGTTGTGCTGGCCAGTAGTGATTAATTTTCATTTTCACATACTGGAGCTCATCATCTTCCTCAAGCCGCTGCTAAATGCAGTGTGTTAAAAGACTTCTCCAGAACCTGGTACAGCTGAAACTTCCTGGAATCTAAAGCAAATGTAGAATAAACACTGCAGAAGGAGGAGGTGGGGGGGAAAAAGACAAATATTGCTAGAATGAAGAATGAAATTTGCTTGGCCTTAGCTCACACTCTTCCCTCCCTCCTCTAAGAGTCTTGCATTCATGTGCTCCTTTGAAAAGCAGGGAGATGAGACTAAGTATGTCAGGAGTCAGCAATGAACCTTTCATTGAGCTGGCTTAAAGTAGCAGTGCTGGTCATGCAGGCCCCTTTCAAAGGAAGATACAATGCGGTGCTTTTCTTTATTTTTTAGGATTTTATTAGGATTAGCTTTTTGATTCAAATAGATCCTAAACAATCTACAAAGATAAAGACACCCCCAAATTTTCAAGTGTTCCTTCCAAAAACCCAAAGGAGAGCTCCTTCTGGAGTTGCATCTCTGATATCCATGTAACTTCAATACTTTGCCTTCAGAGATGTCAACTTTTTTTTTTTTTCCTAAATAACCTTTAGTTAGAATTTGGCTTTCCATCCTCCTTGAGCATGCTGGTAGAAGGAAGGAAAGTGTCTTCTGTGACTCAGAAAAGAATAAAGGGGACTAAGCAACAAGGAAACAGTGGGTGTTATCTGTCCTTTCGTGTGAAGGGAGAGCCACAGACAGGAGTAGGTCTCTATAATTTTATTCTCATTACTTACACAGTCACTGCACCGTGCTACAAGTTATTAACTCAGAGCATCCTACTGCATCTTATTGGCTTTGCACAAACCTAGCAGAAAGGAACATTCTGCTTATGGTTAAACCATGGCCATCAACACTTGCTACTATGTGAAGAACAAAACCCTTTTGTTAGAGGATGCAGTCATCATCTTTAAAAACTATATATAATTTCAGTAATCTCTTTCTAATGCTTCAGATACACATATTGAATTTGAAATAATTTAGTTAGTCTTAAAAAGTTCTGCTTGTTTTTCTTCCTAAGAAAATAGCAGCATATTGCAAAATAGGAAGGTCCAGTAGCAAAATATGTAGTTATTACTAAATAATCCATCAAAAATGTTTTCCTATTATGACGGTGCTGTTTCATTTCTTTGCAAATAACGTCTGTTGCAGAATTGACTCAGACAAACTCTACACAAGTATAGTCACAAAGATAAAGCAAAGTGGTTTTCTGTAGTACCAAGTGAAAAAAAGGTGGTGGTGCTTGGCAAGTAATTATCTGCTTCTTTGCTATTCTATGATCCAGTCTGACTTGAAGAGAAAGGTGGATGTGATCACTAAGCATTTGTCACTTTGCCGTCCTCTGCGTCCTGTTTTCATTCCTTCTTTTGTCCTTACTCAACTTCAGAGTGGAAGATGAAGCATGCAGAGTTTATTGGAAGACTTTTGTGAACAGAATCATAGAACTGAAGTTCAAAAACCCCATAGCCCAAAATGCAGAACAGGTGAATTGTGTTTGCATTATGTTTCAGTTAACTGAAGAAATAGGCTGCCACTGCAGTAAAATACAAGGAGGTCATCACTTCTGTAGACCAACACCTGTATTTTAATCTGCTTGAACTAATGTGCAGGGATTTGCAAGAACAATGAAGTTGATGCTTTTTTTTTCAGTGGGGAATACTGAAAAGCCAAAAAGAGAAACATTCAAGCAGAACTACTTTCAAATGCCCAGCTGCACATGCTGACTGCTTCAACAAAAAGGAAAAATTAATGAAGATGAAGAAGAGTCCTCCTCGTTGATGTATATCAGGAACATTATTTAAGAGTGGCTCTTTCCAGCAGCAGTATGTTTGTTCTCCCAAAACAGCCGCTGATAGTGAGAAATAAAGCCCATTATTGCACCAGTTCACCATGTAAAATGTGCACTGCAAATACTTTTGAGCAGTTTAATCTTATGCAGTCTTTTTTCACTGTGATCCTTTTGTAGTAAAGTATGTACAGACGCAGCCTTAACTAACCATAATCTTATAAATTGGTTATACTAAAACTACATCCTTACACAGCAGCTTCTGCCACCACAGCCTTTGTGTTGAACCAGATATATTATTTTTGTTCTTTATGCAGAATTCAAATCATGCATTTGAGTAACAAGATGAACATCTGGTACCAATAAATGTAGTTAATTTAAAAAAGTGCAGTCTTAAATGTTTCCATTGGTTTTCTAGGCCTGAAAGTTTCCAGGAGAACATTAATTTATTTCCAGCATGAACTGGCTACAAGCTCATTGTTACATTAAGGGATTACTTAGCTTAGACCTTCTCTTGGGCTGTTCCTCTGGTGATGGACAATATCAGTAACTACAATACAATGAAGAGAATGTTACTACAATTCATGAGGACACTTAACTGTCTACACGTTGACTGTGAGGACAGGTGCTATCAGATATTATACTGATATTACTTCTTAGAGTCTATTATAAAATCTGTATTTTTATGACACAGTTCCTATCAGTTTTCCTTCCTGGTGAGCCTTTGTACTGAAATAATCATTGTAAGATTAAAAAAAAAAAAAGTGCTTTTATCCCCTAGAGATTTATATTGAAGATGTGGCATAATCACAGAAGGAACTGCTGATTACACAGTGAACTGAACCACAGTGAGTACAAAGCCAAATATAACGAGGACATTGTATTCACTAGGCCAGGGGATTGCAATTTGTCTAAAAGAAAAGTAATGCAAAATTTAAGTTTTGAATGTATTTATCGCCTGCCATTGAGTTGATAAAAGCAGCTAATATCATTTTTGGACTGCTGGAATTGCACCAGGACTCTTTTCAGGGTGTTTCCCGTGCACACTGAAGAGCAGTTCGTGTTCTCAGATACCTCACGCTACAGATGTGCTGCTGCTCAGTCAAGACACGGAGCTGCTTCGAAACAGAACAGGGACACAGCAAAATTCCCATGCAAGTCTTATTTTCCTAGAAGCCCTGGCTCACACCTAGACACAGGTTTGAAACTGGACAAAAAGGCAGAGCTGTTTTATGTAACTTACCTTTACTAGAACACAGCTATCTTGTTCAAGAATCATTCAGTTTTATAATTTAAAGTACCATAAGAATTTGAGGGAAAAAAATGGGTGTATGTGACCCCTGAATCAGGCACAATTTCAATTCCAAATGATTTTCAAGTTTTTTTTTTAAATGATTAATTACACATTCTCTCTCCCTCTAATACAGTAAATTATGGGGTTTTTAATTAGCCTTGCATTTTTAGCATCTAAATGTTTAAGAAACAATAGTTATTCCTCTGTTTATCCATTATGAATATAGCCCATTCTAATTTGGAATACAGCTACTCTAGGTGAAGCTGTCAAAGTGCATAAAAGAACATTTAAGACATTTTAGTGCCAGTGATACAGTGTACAGGATGCATTTGACTTGAAGAGTATGCACAACTTATTCCTCTGATTACCGTGTCTAACCTCAAAGTTAAATGGACCAAACTGGCTACAGCAGATTTGCTTACAAAACAAATCCCTCAATTCAAACCCAGTAGAAATACTATCCTTCTCTTCCAAACCTGCAGAAAATCCTGTCCACCCTTCACCAATTGTAAATTCAGCTTGAAGTTACTGACCTAACCTTGGTCTTTTCCCCGTTTGTATTTCTTACATGAATTTACAGTAGAAATGGTGCAAAATAGTAAGACCTGTTGGAATAGGCAGAAAGGACTTCAAACTTTAATCTGATTGGTTTAATTTTTCTTTTAGCATGAGGAAAAAGAATAAAGTTACAAGATTCTTTTAATATTTTCACAATGTTAAACTAAAACTGAGCTCTAGGCTACATGTGTAAGTAAATCTAGAACACAAAAGGGTTAAATAAGATCTTCTTTTAAGATACAAGAACTTAAGCTTTCTTTACGTTTAACAAACTTCACAGAACAGATACTGCAAAGGAACAACCCCCTCCCCAACTTTTTGTTTAAAGTGAACATTGTCCATATTTCACATGAACTTTAAGTAGTGTCCTCTCAAGAGCCACCTTGAAACCGTCTGTGCACTTGTAACGAGATTAAAGAGAATATTAAGGAGGAACAAAATAGCATCTTCAGTATTAATGCAGAAAAGTCTTGTGTATCAATCAGAATGCCCATCAAATGCTAGGATAGGATTTTGTAGGAAAAGAAAGTGCGTATCACAGCAGCCGCCAAAATCCATGGTTTTTTTAAACTCTTCACGGCAAATGTAAATAATATCCTTGGACAGTCCTTCTCACCAGGACCACTTCCTGAAAATGCAGCCCATTACAGAAGCTTTTGCTGCTGGTTCATATTCTTGAATAAGAACAAGGAAAAAAAAAACAGCTTGCCTTCCAGACAGCTTGCATTTATAATGATGGGACACTTCTGATTTGCTTCATGGTTAATGCTAATACAGTCAGATGCTGAGTGTGTGTGTGGAGAGACATATATATATGTGTATATATATATGTATTCTTGTTTTAATTAGTTGTCTAATTGTTAAATGTTCCTAACTGGCTACCAAAGTAACAGTATAATTTGGCCTATAAGGAGTATATACCTGTAACAAGTAGAGTGGAGGATGACTCATACAAGCTGGGGTTTTCCAAGTGACAGGTTACTTCACCCCCAATGTTTCACATCTGCCCAGTATTTGAAGATAAGACAAAGTCGATCCCTCCCTCAGGTTTTCTTACAAAAGTACCCACTTGTTAATAACTTACTAATTGACTGTGAAGTTAAACTCATTCAGGATTAAGCTGGGCACCATCGGCACGAATCATTTTTACCTGCGTAAGCCCTGTGTGCAGCAGGAGACAGCCCGGTTATGATGTTTGCTTTTATGTTCCGAAGTGGCAAAGCTGGTGCGGTTCGGCTCGGCTCAGCTCAGCGTGACACACCGTAACACAGAACCAAGGCTCTAACCAGATCCAGGTCATGCTTTTCACATCCACTTGCTATACTCACTTTGTGGGCAGGGATTTTCCTGGGCGCGTTCAGCTGCATAGAAGGAGGGCTGATGGAGCCCCTTTGATTATCTCATTGACACTCTGAACGTGAGGAACACAAACTCATTCTCACAAAGGGTGTTTGTTTTACAGGTTGTTCCCCAATACTGTTACTGAATTCCATTTGCTACAAAATGTCCTTTTTTCCCCAATATGTAAGTCTAGCTACAGAAAGTCAGTCTGTAGAATCCAGCCATGGCTACTGTGCTGTGAATTAGCCTTATTTGATCAATTATCAGATACCTGCACTTAGCAAAAGGCAAACAAGAGCCAATCAGGTTTCGGCCAGTGGGAATGGCTGCACTGCTCAAGGTATGTGGAATCTGTTCACACAACGCGTAGAATCTCTGTGGATGCCATGTAAAAATTATGCACCATTTACTGCTCCAGGATGGAGTTGGCTTTAAAGAGAGATCATAATTTAACAGAGAAGAAAGAAAAAAAATAAGGAAAAAAAAAAAACAAACCCTGATAGGTTCTTTATAGTAACATACATATAAAAATTTTTCATAAGAATCTCTGTCCCCCTTTCTTTTTGGCTTCCTGGGAAGAACAGGAAAGGTGTTCCTACCCCAACAGAATCCCTGATGCTGGTGACACTGCCTAACTCAAAAGCCACATGCGATGAAGGCACGAGTGACCAGTCAGGTCTTCTGGGCTTAAGCAGCTGCAGTTGCTGCTCCGAGTAGTATTTCACCTCCTCAGGATTCAGTAGCAGTGAAGAGGTGAAAGGCTGCACATTAAACAGTTTGTCCGAAAGCCATGTGCATAGCAAACTTTTACACCAGCTTCTATACAACTATTTGTTTTAACTCTGCAGCTGGAATGTTTCCAGCATAAGGCTTTTAGAGTGACTCCAGCAATAACAGAAGCCTTTGGATTTTTCTTGCTTTGTTTAAATCCACTAGCCATACTCAAAAATAATATTTCTTCATGTTTTATTTTTATACGGTGGCTAGCAGGCACCTTAGTAACCAGCCAGAGATAGATTTCAACCACCATCAATCCCTAAACTACAGTACCAGGACGGTTGGCTAAAGGAAGGAAACTGATTGGCTGTAGTCTGAAACTTGCCTAGTACAAGGTGTCTGGCTGACTTTGTCCTAAATAAGGCTAACATTAGTGAACTAAGAGAACAGCATTTGGTTGCAGTCTTGCACTCAGGAACATCCTTCGCCAATGCGTTGGCAAGATCTCCCTACTTTCCGATCCAGTTTCACCATTTTCATGATGGCCTCCTCGCGCCCGCGGCCCATGTGGTCGAACGTGCAGTCGTGCTGTTCGGGCAGGCGGTGCAACATGCAGAACACGTAACCTGCCACAGAGAGACAAGAGACACGGTTAGGGACTGCTTACAGAGGTGGCATCTCACCTGAAACACAAGTGAGTAACCACCCCATCTACTGGGGGATTACTCAGTTCTCAAAAGTTCACAGCAGTTTAAAGCTTTTACTTATTTTCTTACAGGGTAATGAATATTTGATCATTTACTGCCTTTTGTTGAGAATTTATCAACACAGTACCAAAGCTCAAGTCATACGAGATTTGTCGGTTTTTTTTGCCATCCTCTCATCTTATACAGGAAACCTCCAAAATCATCTAGGCTATGTACGTCTGCATAGTAACAAAGCTAATGCTTTTGGGTTTTAATCCCCTTCACTGAAATCCTTCCTACTTTTGAGTGGACTTTGTTGTCATTTCTGAAACTCACGCCTATGGTACTCTATGATGAGTTCCCAAGCAGATTTTCAGGTCAGAACTGTTAAATTTAAGCACCTTTCTTCCTCCTCATTGCCAGCGTTGGCAGTGACGGCAGGAGAGTTCACTGCTCCTTCACTATCCCTGTCTTCAAAAGCTTCTCCCCATGAACCATTCTGACACTAACCACAGGGGGCAACAGACATTTGGGACAGGGATGTGGCATGCCACATCACTTTGCTCTGTAGCTGAGAAATTGAGGTTATCGTCTCTTTGTCTAAAGCTCCTTGATATTACTCAGCTTTCCAGGGAGCACGTGACTTGCCAATTCTTTTCCCTGCAGATGAGGAGGGCATCTGCCATAGCCACCACTTTCTAGTCTACAAAGGAAATCGGCTTTTTTCCTCTTTGTCGCTAACACTTTCTAACAGTAAAGAAACTGCCTCAGATTTCCCACCTCCAAAATGAATGTTAAATAGCAGTGGATGCTATAGGAGGGAGAAGTCACACAGATACAGGGCTCACCAGTCCACTGTATACAAAACCTAGTGTGGTTCATGTAATGTCGCCTGTGCTGGGATATTCTTCCTGCCTGATGGTGCAAAGAGTAACACTTACCTCTTACCTGAATGCTTTACACTACTGCTGCTCCTTAAATGCTCCAAAGATATTCAACCCACAAAATGATAGTATTTGAGAGATGGAAAAGGATAAAAATGAGTGAATGAATGATTGGGAGAGTGTTTTGTGCATATACACACACACACACATCTATATGAGAATATGTGTGTGAAGTAATTTAAGTTCCTGGACTACAAAATATCAATTGCAGGAGAGAACAACTTGCTATCTTTATATTAGAGTGATTGTTAA